GGTTTTGCTGGTTGCTCATATCTCTATTTTTATATAGGTTTCTAATTTTTTTTTCCATTTTTATTCGGGCGGGATTTCTGTCGCGAGTTGTTTACAGCCGGGGTCAAAAGTTGTGTGGAAATCCCCGGCGCTAGTCACGAGTTGTTTACAGCGAGCGAGCGAAGCGGTGCCGGGGTCAAAAGGTGAGTGGAATTCCCCGGTTTTTTGGGTCGATGTACTACCCAAGGGTTTTGAGCAAAAACGGAGTTCACGTCATTCCAGGATTTTCCCGTTTTTTCCCACCAAAAATGTTTCGACGATTTTTTGGGTCGATGTACTACCCAAGGGTTTTGAGCAAAAACCGGGTAAAAAGGGGCGCTTGGTCCAGAACTCTCATTTTCCTACTACTGTCTGCTTTCAACTCGAAGTAGTAGAAATCGAACAAATCTAGCACACTTACGCCGCAGTTAATTAACTAATTTAACTTTGTTTTTATGCGATACATTTTGACAAATGAGAGCTTGCACTCTTCAAATGGCGTCGTCGATTGAAAGTAAGGAGTCAAGACACAAAATACATAAAGTATGTTAAATTCAGACTTTTCAGGCTGCACTGAATTTTGGTGGAAGAGTCTTTCAGGATGACTCCACACGTCAAATCAAACAAAAAATAACGGCAATTTACCGTGAACTAACGTACCTGCGATGGTCGTGTATCTGCATGTGCAGTGGGCGTGGTTTAAACTGAAGTGGCATCACACTTACGAACCGGATATATATACAGTGTTGACTCCGCGGGCGTGCGTGACAAAGTTCAACACACAGAGAGCCTCGGTTTCGATGCTGATATGCGCAGACTAGACCTAGACAGAGCTAGTGTGAAATTCCTCTATTGAAAAAAGTTCGCTAGGCAGCCATGTACGGAGCTTTTAAAGGGACATGGTTGAACAAAAAATGTTCGTCCGACCCGAAAAAAAAAATCGTTGGAACGAATTTTTTTTTTGTTCAAACGAACTTCGTTCGAACAAATTTGTTTTTCATTGGAACGAATTTTTCTCCCCACCATGTCTTCTTAAAAGCTCCGTATGGATGCAATGCATATGCGCATGCTTGATAGCATTGATATGGTTTTTCTTGAGTGTCGGCTGCATGGAGTCATGTCATCTGTCACGTCTACGTCTGTGCGTCGGGGAAAGTTGAGTTTGAAACGAAAAAGAGATGCCGAATATTGTGGGGAAGAAGACAGCTCTACTAACAGGTACATGTAGGCATACAGTTACACGATCATAATGTAACAGTACAGATGTAGGCTACATGTACAGGTTGTATGACAATCATCAATCATAGGCCACGTATGTACATGTACATGTATGTTCACGTCCCATAGAGTACCGAAGTGTGACGTCATTGTGAACCAGAAAGTGCAGTGCAAACGAATGGAGTAGACGCTTGTGTTGGTACATGCGCTGGTTCTCGCGCTAATGCCTTTTACACACTAATTGTGCGCGTACTCAATTGCCGCAACAGACATTAGTTTGATTTAACTAGGCATGCTCAGTACGGGCCGAGCCATTTCCCTCGTAAGCAGATGACGCACAGCGAACCGCGTTATAAAAGAAGAGGTGCAAAAACTGGTTATTTACAACAGACAGGAACAATAAAACACTTATAAATCAAAGGTTTAAGGGGCAGTTTTAGGTGAAATGTTTACTAGAAATATAGAAAAATTGATTTACGATAACTTTTGCCGAAGCTTTGAACCAGAACCTACATTTTCACCTTTCATCTTTAATTGCAAATTTTTATGTGAAAATTATTTTTCGTGAAAAAAATTCCAACGGCATCAGATCAAGCAACAACGAAAACATATTTTATTTACGTTCATTCAAATGCAACGACAAGTTTACGAGAAAATGTCCCTTTAAAATAATTGATGTTTTCACTTATGGTTGGAGGAAGCCATTTTGTTTTAAAACTCGGTTCTAGATATCGAATTTTTACTCGAATACTATTTCCCCTTGCGCCATAGAGGATGTGTTCATTTGGAAATCTTAACTGGTATCGATACTCTCATTTGACAGGGACGAAGTTCGTAATGGTATGGAAGTGGACGTGCTCGATGGATGGTGTTTATTTGATGAACAGTGTTTATGTAGCTCCATGTGGGCTTCAGTACAAAAATGTGTTGTGTGATAATCGACTTAAAACAGATTGTCAAAAACTGGCAATTGGTTGTTTCCTTTTTAAAGACGCAGGGAGGGTTTTCTGGACAGATCATGAGCACTGACATATGGGGGGGGGGAGTTGAGGCATGTTGCCCTTTTTGCACTACCTTTCTGGGGGCTGGGGCAGGGTAATGAAGATTCTTTACGAATGAAAAAATTTCCTAGTTGGTCAGTTACTATTAGAAAACAATCAACTTCGGATACACCAGTACATGTAAGACTGGTAGGGGTCAAGGTTTGGTATCACCCCTTAGCTCAGTCACCCTGAGATCTGCATTTCCAGTGCTCACCCCCCATTTATAACAATACTTGATTATGGTAAATTGTCTACTGAAACCAAATGACAGTGGAAGTCACACCCAATAGGCTAATCCATAGTGAAGACGCGTAATATGCAAATAATGATGGGGCATTCTGAACACAAAACAGCTCACCTCAGTGGTACAGTTAACAAATTTTGCACATGCTAAATGTCATGTTGCAATTCAAGTAGAGTTCTCCAAGGGGAATTTACAGAATCACGTGCACTTGTGTTCAGACTAGGGGGACAGTTATATCATTTACTTAAGCTGAGAACGAAAACTCTTGAGACAAAAAATATTTGTCATTTTTATGAACAGTACATGTACATTCATCTCATGAAAACAAACCAAGGCGTTATTTCAGGAAAACAGCCCTCTGAGCATTTAAAATGGAGTCTTGTGTATTCAGCTCTCCCAATACTGGGTAGTAAAGTGTACATACATGTAAAATACAAATGTATATTCCTGGTTATGATGCCTTGAAAATAAGAGGTAAGTGCAAAGAACATGATGGAACTATCAGTTAACAAGGGCGACATTCTGCTTTACAAATTATGGATCATGGTTGAAACTGTCTTCCTTAGTATATTAATCGGAGCATATACATGTACATAAAGTTGTGGGGTTGATCAGGATTTGTTCAAGTTTGTGAATGCTTTCTTGCTAAAGGTAGGCCTACCAACTTGAACACAAAAGACCTAACTTCAAACCCAGCTTTCTTAGAAACTGGAGTGGGTAAACTCATATCCTTTACATGTACATGTAAAAGTAATGAAGTTGTACTACACATGCTGGTTACAAACTTGTGCTTATAAAAATCTGAACTTTGGTTGAGTTTCTGTCTTTCAATAATAATAATACCCACAAAGCACAACTCAGAGTGGCTCCCCAGCAATAAAGTGTACGCATTTTAAAGTTCAACGTTTCTTGCAGCAGCATGTGTCTTTGTAAATTCATGTACCTGTACATGTAACAGTGTGTGTCTATAGAAATGGAACAACACAGTGCACATCTCTATTAAGCTCACCACACCTCCAGCAGTATGGTTTGTTAGGCTGAAATCCAATCTAGAGGACAATCCATCAAAGTTTCATAGGATCACTGGATGCTTGTGGATGTGTCAGCTGGAAAAAAAAAAACAAAACCAAACCAGGTTATCAATAAATTGCATCATTTTCAGGATGAACTAGAGGTTAATTCTAAGGTTGCTTGAAATCAAGCTTCAAGAGTTCATTCACAGATTGTTTCTGGGTTTGGGTAATCTTAATGTTCCTGGCATACTGAAAAATTTCTGAGTTAACCCTGACAGTCCTCAATCCTTCACCTGTTGGAGGACTGAGGACTGTTAGGGTTAAAATACATTGATGTGAGTTTTCCAATTAATCACACAAGTTTGGAAACACTTGAGAAAAAGCGGGGGGGGGGGTGGCCATATTCATGTAGGTTGGTACATGTACATGTATGTTTACTGGAATATGCACTACCGAGTAACCCTCTCAAATCCAAGCAAAATTACCTGCACATAAAAATGTTTTTCATTCAGTAAGCGTATACCGGTACATGTACAGTATATGATTACTATATGAACGCGAGGGCTAAATTCTAAGTTGAATGTTAAACATCGGAATCAAAAAAATGCATGCAAGACCATGTACATACATGTACATGTGGTGGATGTACCGGTACATGTACATGTGTGTGCACAAACACAAACATGCATGTCACATGCTCCTCTGAGGTCCATGGTTTCAAAGAAGCGTACGTGACCCTTGTGCTGCCATTGGTCGATTTTGTAGGTGAATGTAGATTCCAACTACTATTACTAATGCAATCACAGATTTCGACTGAAATTAAAATGCGTGAAGTCAGATCAGAAATTCCACAGACGTAACCGCAGAATGGTGCTATGACTGCACCTATAGTAGCAGCGCACGTATAATGGTATGAGCAATTTGCACAATTACAGACGCAGTAGTACGAATGGAGCAAAACATTTACTCAAAAGTAAACTCACCAGTCATGAGAACCTCCGAATGCATTCAAATGCGACATTTACAGTGGCTGGAGAAACTCCTGAAGTTGCAATACGTCAAGGAAACTCGATGTGAAAAATGATTTTCACATAAAAAATTGAGGATATTTACGATTACTTTTTTTGGAAATCGGAAAAGTAGGGGTCTCAAATTCCATTTTTTTGAAGTCTTCTTCAGAAGAAATGAAAAATGTACAAAAAAGCCAGGTTCTGCCTATAGAGAAGTTGTCTGCACAGTATTAGTACTTTCTATCTTCAGATTTCATGAAATTTGCTGAGGAAAAGTTCGTTAACAATTTTTAAATAAACTGCGCAAAACTTTGTTCCTACATGTATGTGTAACTTCAGAACTAGGCCCCATGTACATGTATCCATATCCCCGTATCCATGTACATACATACATGTATACACTGTACATGTAGCCACTATGGCAAACCTGTGTTGCACTTGCAACGTTTTCTTCTTTGCATTTTGATTTTACATCACACCAAATATTAGGCCCTGCTTGTACATGGAACTTGCTCTGTAAGCATAGGCCTATCCCAGTATTTGTGTAGCCACTTGGGGGAAACTGCATTGGATATTGGACTTTCTCCAACTTTCCCCATTGATTTCATACTTGTCATAGTGTAGAAATAAAACCACGTAATAATTTAATGTCATTTCAGGTCGATTGTGGGAAACTTGTCAAACTGTGTTGACTGCGGAAGCCAAGATTTTAAAGGGGTAGATTTGGACGGATGGGGCATTCTGTACACGTACAATTTTGACGGTGGGGCATTCTGTACACGTACAATTTGGCCGGATGGGGCATTCTGTACACGTACAATTTGGCCGGATGGGGCATTCTGTACACGTACAATGTACATGTACCGTAGTTACTCTAATTTCCAAGCATAATTTGGTTTCTTAAATTTATGCTTGATTTCATTTAAATTTGTCCATGGATACTGGACCTTCTATGTATTACGTTAAAATTGCTTTTTGGCTGGCATGGCAACTGAATATTTGAAGTGTGAGTGTACATGTACCGGTACATTAGGGACTTTGATAGGGTAGTTTACTATGGCAAAAAATCTCCATCATGTTCCATGCTTACCGCTATTTCTTAAAACAGGTTTCAACCTAACACATACTTGTATATTCATAAAACTGTATGCTCAGTGTTTGTCCAAGTGCTTGAAAAAAAAAATGTTCAAGTTTACGCTGGTGGGACTCAAATCCACAACCCCCTGCTTACTTTTGCAGACGTCTTAATTAACCATGCAATCAACAAGCTTGCCGGCGTTGCCCGGCCTGTCAGTGTCAGATTTACTGCAAACTATTTTCAAAGATACCGGTATATATTGTCTATTTCTAAATGCCTGTTAAAAAATTGACATAACCTTGACGTACAAACACATACATCTTTGGAAATACATTGTTATAGTGACCAGTAATTACACGTAAATATACATTGTACCTTGAAAAGCCTTAAATCATGAAAGTGAAAGGGAAATATCCAGCAGTTGAATGTAGGATTAAATTAGAACAGGGGAGGATTTTATGACTGTGGGGATAGGAAAACCTTGAAACCAACCTTGGAATGAAATTCACAGTCTTCTGCTTTCATCCTACCCCAAACAGTCACTAAATATGCAAATTTCCTGTGTGCCTGATTCTATTCACTAAAATTTGATCAACCGTAATGCTCCCATGC